GCAACTCCATTGTTCCAGTACCTTAGGAAAAAAACTTTAGAGTCATCCATGATATCTCTCCTCCCATATTCCATAAACAAATCTTTCTGGCTTGCCCTGGATCCAAACCATCAAGATATCAGGTCTGTATTATTTAAACAGTTTTATAACTGGTCTGTTTTCATCCTTATTCCTCTGTGATCTGGTTCCAAAATAGGAGCTATGATATATTTTTAAATTTAAGTACAATCATGTTACTCCTTCCAGTCACTCCCCATTTCATTCAGTCGTAAAATCCCTTACTATGATCCACAAGGGCTCTAGATAATCTATCTCCCATTACCCACCTAATCTCATCACCTACTTAGTTTCACCTCATTCACTCTGCTTAATCCACTCTAGTCACGTTTATGTACCTCAGACATGTCAGGTACGCTCCCACCTCAGGGTCTTCGAATGACTCATTCCTTCACTGCATGTCGCTTGATCAACTGTTATTAGAGCAGTTTTCCCTTACTACTCTATTTCAAAATGTAACAATTCTCAGCAATTCCTATACCCAAGCCTCACTTAACTTTTGCCATACCTTCTAACACACTCATTTGTTTATTGAATAACTCATTTGTTTATTGAATAGATGTCAGCTCCATGCAGGCAGTGAGTTTGGTTCATTCATTTTCTATCTCCAGCACCTAAAACAGTACCTGGAACCTCATATACACTCAATAGGTATTTTTTGAATGAATGAACCAATAAATGAGTATAACATTTGCCTATGTAAAAATTTTAAACTCTACATGATAAATGAACAGTAAACAAGGTTATAAGACAAACAAATGACTGGGAGAAAATATTTGCAACACATATAATAGACAATGGATGCATCGTTATAAAGTACTTGTAGAAATCAATAAGAAATATACAACCAAATCCCTTCCCAAAAATGACGAAAGAACATGAATAGACAATTTGTAGAGGAGATATAAGCATAAGAAATCTCATTTCTAATTAGGAAAATTCAAATTTCAACAATGATACTCCACTTTTCACCTTTTAAACTAACAAAATTAGAATGACTGATAGTACCCAATATTTGTAAAATGAAGAGAAAATAGAAAATTTCTTACACTGATCAAGACAGTATAAAGCAGTAGTGATATTTAAGAAAAAATTAGTCAGTAACTATCAACATTACAAAGGCATATATATATGATGAGTTCCCACAACTCTACTTAGAATTTATTCTGTGGTAGTATTTACCAAATAATCTTAAGATATGTATGTGAGACATGGGTAAGAATCTTCAGAGCAACATATGTTTCTAATCATGAATATATAGAAACAATTCAGTATTCATAATAGGTTAAACTATTTATGGCTAACCCACACGCAAAATATTATATAATTATGAAAAATAATGAGGCATTTATTTATGGGCTAATAAAGACAGTTTGCTAAAATTTACTAAGTTATGATAGCTAGGTCCAGAGCAGATATATAGTATGAATTTTTTTTGATGTAAATAAAAATATAAGATACCTGTATTTGAAAGATGCAGCATCATTTCATGAATCAGTAACTGAGGAAAAATGCTTCCAATTATAATTGTAAGATGCTTTCCATTGTAAGATGCACCTCAATATCAGAGATTTTGGATATAAAAAATAGAGTCTTAAATTGATAAAATACTGGGGCGCCTGGGTGGCTCTGTCGGTTGAGCATACAACTTGGGCTCAGGTCATGATCTCACAGTCCGTGAGTTTGAGCCC